GTGCTCTGGCCGGATCTTCTTTTCAGTGATCTTCTTTTTGCAGTATGCGCGGAAAGTGACCAGCTTTTCTTGGTAATCTTTTGGCAGTTGCTGCGAGACGGTAGTTCGTGTGCGGATGGAGAGATTACGTCTTTTCATAAAACGAAAGCACCAAGAAGGACCGCCTCGAAATTCATCGATTGTCATGTCCCGTGCTAGCGCTGTTGCCTTCATTCGAATAGTGACTGTAGAGACGCTTCTACTTGCTGCTCTCTGTTCAACAACCCACTGTTCGAGTTTGTCCTCTAACTGTGGCCATCTCGCTTTGTTCCCTCGGAAACTCTGTTTAGTCTTCTTTACTTGGCGCAGGTCATCTTCTTGCTTCCTCCACTTCCGTACCATTGATTCATTAATGTTGAATTCTCTCGCTGCTGCTCTATTCCCATATTCTACTGCATGACCGACAGCCTTGAGCTTGAACTCTGCGTCGTAAGCGTGTCTCTTGAAAGGTGCCATTTTGGGGTCTTTATACACACACAAGTGGTGTGGGACTGTGAGTAAGCACAGTACCGGTGTGTACTGGCTACCGTAATGCTGCAAGTGGTGCGGCTTTGTAGTTTACCAGTCGTACTGAAACATTTCATTTTTATTAAATTGTTTTTATTGGTTTTTCATACTGAAACATTTTGACAGAGCACCTTGAGCGCCGTGTACAACCAGTATGGATCAACCAATTAACCAATTGATCCATATATAAGGCGCTCCGGATTATAAGGCGCACTGTCGTTTTTTGAGAAAATTAAAGGCTTTTAAGTGCGCCTTATAGTGCGGAAAATACGGTAGATCCTCTGAGGCTGTGGAGGGATTCTAGTTGTGGATTTAAAAGAAAAGATGAATCATCAGCGTACAATGACACCTTTGTTTTTAAGCCCTGGATTTCTAATCCTCTGATATTATTATTGGATCTGATTTTAATAGCTAACATCTCGATGGCCACAATAAATAGATATGCCGATAGTGGACAACCTTGTTTCACTCCTCTTGACAGACTTTCTGAGAAATATCCATTATTGACTATTTTACACCTAGGGTTACTATACATGATTTTGACCCATTTTATAAGAGATTCTCCAAAATTGAAATGCTCCAGGCATTTATATATAAACCCCAGTCGAACTTTATCAAATGCCTTTTCGAAGTCTGCTATGAATAGCAGGCCTGGTTTCCCATATTTTCCATAGTTTTCTATTGTTTTCAATACTTGCCTTATATTATCTCCAATGTATCTTCCATGTAAAAAACCTGTCTGATTACAATGAATAATATCCGACAATACCTTTTTAATTCTATGCACTATACATTTGGCTAGGATTTTTGCATCACAACACTGAAGTGTAAGGGGCCTCTAATTTTTTTAATGGACTGGATCTTTATATTTTCCACTTGTATCCTGTTTCAGTAATAATGAGATCAGACCTTCTTCTTGAGTGTCAGATAATCTACCATTTACATAGGAGTGGTTAAAACATGCTAATAACAGTCCTCTTAGTATATCAAAAAAGGTTTGGTATACCTCGACTGGTATGCCATCCAACCCTGGAGTTTTCCCAGACTTAGTCTTTAATTGCATCCAGAAGTTCCTCCTCTGTAATTTCACCTTCACATGAGTCTTTGTGTGGCTGTTAATTTGACATTATCAATAGAAAAAAAATATCTACCATTAGCTTCAGTTAGAGGAGATGGAGGCGACTGAAAAGAAAACATATGCTTAAATTTCCTCTCAATCTTAAATAAACATGCCCGTTAAAAAAATACAGAACTAAGAACAGATATAGCCCCTGGTTCTCCTCAGACTTGACTGCCCTTGACCAGCACAAAAACATCCTGTGGCGTACTGCATTAGCATCGAATAGCCCCCGCGATATGCAACTTTTCAGGGAAGTTAGGAACCAATATACACAAGCAGTTAGGAAAGCAAAGGCTAGCTTTTTCAAACAGAAATTTGCGCCGTGTAGCACTAACTCCAAAACTGGGACACTGTAAAGTCCATGGAGAATAAGAGCACCTCCTCCCAGCTGCCCACTGCACTGAGGCTAGGAAACACTATCACCACCGATAAATCTACAATAATCGAGAATTTCAACAAGCATTTTGCTACGGCTGGCCATGCTTTCCACCTGGCTACCACTACCCCGGCCACCAGCTCTGCACCCCCCGCTGCAACTTGCCCATGCCCCCCCCCGCTTCTCCTTCACACAAATTCAGACAGCTGATGTTCTGAAAGAGCTGCAAAATCTGGACCCCTACATATCATCTGGGCTAGACAATCTAGACCCTTTCTTTCTACAACTAGCAGCCGAAATTGTCGCAACCCCTATTACTAGCCTGTTCAACCTATCTTTCGTAACGTCAGAGATCCCCAGAGAAGCTGCCGCGGTCATCCCCCTCTTCAAAGGGGGTGACACTCTAGATCCAAACTGTTACAGACCTATATCCATCCTGCCCTGCCTTTCGAAAGTTTTTGAAAGCCAAGTTAACAAACAGATCACCGACCATTTCGAATCCCACCGTACTTTCTCCGCTATGCTATCCGGTTTCCGAGCTGGTCATGGGTGCACCTCAGCCACGCTCAAGGTCCTAAACGATATTATAACAGCGATCGATAATAGACAGTACTGTGCAGCCGTCTTCATCGAACTGGCCAAGGCTTTCAACTCTGTTAACCACCGCATTCTCATTGGCAGTACTAAATAGCCTTGGTTTCTCAAATGACTGCCTCGCCTGGTTCACCAACTACTTCTCAGATAGAGTTCAATGTGTCAAATCGGAGGGCCTGTTGTCTGGAGCTATGTCAGGGTTCAATTCTTGGGCCGACTCTTTTCTCTGTGTATATCAATGATGTCTCTCTTGCTGCTGGTGACTCTCAGATCCACCTCTACGCAGACGACACCATTTTGTATACATCTGGCCCTTCATTGGACACTGTGTTAACAAACCTCCAAACGAGCTTCAATGCCATACAACACTCCTTCAGTAGCCTCCAACTGCTCTTAAACACTAGTAAAACTAAATGCATGCTCTTCAATCGAACGCTGCTGGCACCCTTGACGGGTCTGACCTAGAGTATGTGGACAACTACAAATACCTAGGTGTCTGGTTAGACCGTAAACTCTCCTTCCAGACTCACATTAAGCATCTCCAATCCAAAGTTCAATCTATTTCGCAACAAAGACTCCTTCACTCATGCTGCCAAACATGCCCTCGTAAAACTGACTATCCTACCGATCCTTGACTTCGGCGATGTCATTTACCAAATAGCCTCCAACACTCTACTCAGCAAATTGGATGTAGTCTATCACAGTGCCATCCGTTTTGTCACCAAAGCCCCATATACTACCCACCACTGTGACCTGTACGCTCTTGTTGGCTGGTCCTCACTACATATTCGTCGCCAAACCCACTGGCTCCAGGCCATCTATAAATCACTGCTAGGCAAATCCCCGCCTTATCTTAGCTCATTGGTCACCATAGCAACACCCACCCGTAGTATGCGCTCCAGCAGGTATATCTCACTGGTCATCCCCAAAGCCAACACCTCCTTTGGCCACCATTCCTTCCAGTTCTCTGCTGCCAATGACTGGAACGAATTGCAAAAATGTCTGAAGCTGGAGACTCTTATCTCCCTCACTAACTTTAAGCATCAGTTGTCAGAGCACCTTACCGATCACTGCACCTGTACACAGCCCATCTGAAATTAGCCCACCCAACTACCTCATCCCCATATTGTTATTTATTTTGCTCATTTGCACCCCAGTATCTCTATTTGCACATAATCTCTTGCACATCTATCATTCCAGTGTTAATACTAAATTGTAATTATTTTGCACTATGGCCTATTTATTGCCTTTCCTCCATAACTTGCTACATTTGAACACACTGTATATATTTTTTCTGTTGTATTTTTGACTTTGTTTTGTTTACCCCATATGTAACTCTGTGTTGTTTTTATCGCACTGCTTTGCTTTATCTTGGCCAGGTTGCGGTTGTAAATGAGAACTTGTTCTCAACTGGCTTACCTGGTTAAATAAAGGTGGGGGAAAAAAATGTGGGTGTCTGTACATTACTAAGATTTCCTTCACTGTAATTAAGGGGCCTAGCCCAAACCATGAAAAACAGCCCCAGACCATTATTCCTCCTCCAACAAACTTTACAATTGGCATTATGCATTGGGGCAGGTAGCGTTCTCCTGGCATCCGCCAAACCCAGATTCGTCCGTCGGACTGCCAGATGGTGAAGCGTGATTCACTGCTCCAGAGTTAAATGGAGGAGAGCTTTACACCACTCCAGCCGATGCTTGGCATTACACATGGTGATCTTCGGCTTGTGTGCGGCTGCTCGGCCATGGAAACCCATTTCATGAAGCTCTCGACAAACAGTTATTGTGCTGATGTTGCTTCAAGAGGCCGTTTGGAACTCGGTACTGAGTGTTGCAACCGATGACAGACGATTTTTACGAGCAACAGCACTCGGCGGTCCCGTTCTGTGAGCTTGTTTGGCATACTACTTCGCAGTTGAGCCGTTGTTGCTCCTAGACGTTTCCACTTCACAATAACAGCACATACCGGGGCAGCTCTAGCAGGGCAGAAATTTGACAAACTGACTTGTTGGAAAGGTGGCTTCCTATGACAGTCCCACGTTGAAAGCCACTGAGCTCTTCAGTAAGGCCATTCTACTGCCAATGTTTGTCTATGGAGATTGTATGGCTGTGTGTTCGATTTCATACACCTGTCAGCAACGGGTGGGGCTGAAATATCCAAATCCACTAATTTGAAGGGGTGTCCACATACTTTTGTGTGTGTGGTTGTGTGTTTGATTCCCACATGGGTCACACACTGAATATGGGCTACTGTCAGTGAGACCCTCCCACAGAGCATAGATCGAGCTGTCGTACTGAACACCATGTATATTAATGTGTACATATGTTTTGTATGGTAGTTAAAGCATTATTGTCCTCTCCTCAGAACTTAGTGATAGACCCTAAGAATGAGATGTCCTACACCATGTGGAAGGATGTCCCTGTCCCCTTCTTCATGTCTGTCTATTTCTTCAATGTCCTGAACCCTACCGAAGTCCTGGCTGGAGAGAAACCCATGGTGGAGCAGAGAGGACCCTACGTATACAGGTAGGACTTCACACCTGACATCTTACCTCTAACCCTTATCACTGACCTATGGCGGAACAGAGGGCCCTTCACCCCTGACCTCTAATCTCTTACCCTTAGGCCTGCTTGTTTCACATGGTGGATTAGAAAGCACCCCTAGTGCACGATTTAGGGAAAAAGGTGCAACTTTATAAGGAATATGGAACCATTTTGGCTTTAGTGTCCTGGTGTTAGTATGGGTAGTAGTGTAACCCAGTATGTCTTTAGGACTGACAGCGGTGTATACTTCGGTCCATAGGCCTGGACCAGTGATTCCGCTAGCCGGTAATAACCGGCTTTTGTCCGAGTTAATGCATTAAGAAAAATGTATTAATGAAAAGCCGGTAAAATTATGCATTTTAGCAGATTCATTGATTTGAAATGAATCAATTTTTATTTGTCACATGCGCTGAATACAACATGTGTAGACCTTACCGTGAAATGGTTACTTACAAGCCCTTAACCAACAATGCAGTTCAAGAAATAGAGTTAAGAATTAAGAAAATATTTAATAAAAAAAGTAACACAAACAAATAACAATAACGTGGCTATATACAGGGGGTACCGGTTAGTCAAGGTAATTTGTACATGTAGGTAGGTGTTGTGATGAGTTTTCTGGTATCAAGTAATTCAGGATGCAAGAGAATAGTTAAACACTTAGATGGAGAGTTGGTTCAAAGTATTTAATATTGCGGTACTGGATTCAGCATAAATTGCCCCGCGTTATATGAACTAAGTGTTCTCTGAACTAACTGAACAAAGGAAATCTCTTATAGCTTATATACTTGTTTGCAAGCTACTTCTATCCAACAGTTGCCAACCATTATTGAGTGTCAATCTTCACCACATATAGGATCACCCTAATGGTATTGTGTTGCACTCTAGTCAGGATATTCCATAACGTACTCATAAGATTAGCACCAGTGGCCCCCCAGCTATCTTGGCCCGCATACCTTCTGGCACCCACCAGTGACAGAAAGAAATACATGGAATGTCCTCATCCTCCAAATCCTTATGCAGCTCATAATATCTAACATGAACTAATCCTTTATAAAATACGTAATATCAATCCCCCATTTTCCACAGATATAACATTACTTAAACCAAACAAACAAAACCTACAAATTTAATTCCTAACCTCATGACATCATCCCAGAAAAGACATTGATTCATGACAATTTGTAAGTTACATGTAGACTACAATATAGGTAGATGAATATATCCCAATAAAAATAACTTCAAATACATTCTCAATTTCTTCATCCAGAGGAGCCCCAAGCTTTTCTCTGGCCACTTGGGGCGCTATCTGATCAACTGAGGTAGTCTTGTTTCCACATTTCCAATCCTGTAAACCTTATATCCACTGTTATACAGTTCCAACATCAAATTCCCCACTCCCCAATCAACATTATACAATGGACTCTACACTTGAATATCATGATATAGATGAAGAATTTTTACTTTCCCTCCTTGCATTAATATTGACTGATACATCTCTAGCTGTAATCACTAATCCCATCCTGTATTTCTGTAATATTTCCCATAGCTTTAGTTAAATTCCCAAAACCTTCCTATTCTGATGGCAAGTATGTACAACATGCATCTCCCCCTATAATCGCATACATTCCCCCTTTATCTACTGTAATAGCATCCAATGCTATGCAATTATCAATTGCAGATTGTCCAATGAGTGACATTTCATACCCAATTGCTTGAAAACCCATGAATGTTAATAGGTACCATGTTCAACTCTGTTCAACCCTGACTCTGTTCCCATAATATGCCTGAGGAGAGATACAAAGGATAACACTCTGGTTTCAGTTAGTGATAAATCAGTATAGCCTTGGATTAGTTAGGCTTGAGGAAAGGTCAGATCAGATGAAAATAACAAACATTCCTATGTCACACCCCATGATGGGAACCAATTAAGTTATTGCATATCAACATAGGGTTACATCTATCTTAGTGTTCACTGATTAACTATGTTGATCTTATAGTTCACTGAGTCTGAATAAATGTAACTATAGTCTACTGAAAAATCATCAACATATACAAATTAATTATTCAACCCAAATTTAGAATGACAATGCTTAGTGATTCACATGGGCCTCAACTTGGCACATATCACCACTCTTAGAATGTACACTTATATTACTTACAGTATAACAATCCAGAATGCTACTATTACTATTCAAAATGAATTGCCCATGACAATGTCCCAACTTCAATGTCTCATCCGAGTCACCACCATCTCTACACACAATGTTGTATTTGAACAGATCTCTCTGCATTCTCACTCATCGTGGACTCCTGTCCCACTCCCGAGAAAAAAGGCATGAGAGAAAAGCAGTTGATAGCTTCTATTGGCTGTTGTACACCGGTTGCAGGTAGAAGTGGTGCTGTACAGGAACGTCTTCAACGCCTCTGATGTCCATCTTCAGCCGATATTTATTTATTTATTTATTTATTTTTTTTTTTTTTTTTTTTGTGTGATTTTTTTTTGGAGTTTCACACCAATCTAGGCCGAATTATCCCTGCTATGCATCAATACACCATCTGTATTTACCGCAAGAGAAGACAGAACATAACAGTTTAGTTGAGTTCATTCCTAATCCAATAAATCCATATAAGCATTGACTATATGACAAATTATTATGTTTTACTAATTATTCTTAATACCAATTTCTAATATACAGTGGGGGAAAAAAGTGTTTAGTCAGCCACCAATTGTGCAAGTTCTCCCACTTAAAAAGATGAGAGGCCTGTAATTTTCATCATAGGTACACGTCAACTATGACAGACAAATTGAGGAAAAAAAATCCAGAAAATCACATTGTAGGATTTTTAATGAATTTATTTGCAAATTATGGTGGAAAATAAGTATTTGGTCACCTACAAACAAGCAAGATTTCTGGCTCTCACAGACCTGTAACTTCTTCTTTAAGAGGCTCCCCTGTCCTCCACTCGTTACCTGTATTAATGGCACCTGTTTGAACTTGTTATCAGTATAAAAGACACCTGTCCACAACCTCAAACAGTCACACTCCAAACTCCACTATGGCCAAGACCAAAGAGCTGTCAACGGACACCAGAAACAAAATTGTAGACCTGCACCAGGCTGGGAAGACTGAATCTGCAATAGGTAAGCAGCTTGGTTTGAAGAAATCAACTGTGGGAGCAATTATTAGGAAATGGAAGACATACAAGACCACTGATAATCTCCCTCGATCTGGGGCTCCACGCAAGATCTCACCCCGTGGGGTCAAAATGATCACAAGAATGGTGAGCAAAAATCCCAGAACCACACATGGGGGGACCTAGTGAATGACCTGCAGAGAGCTGGGACCAAAGTAACAAAGCCTACCGTCAGTAACACACTACGCCGCCAGGGACTCAAATCCTGCAGTGCCAGACGTGTCCCCCTGCTTAAGCCAGTACATGTCCAGGCCCGTCTGAAGTTTGCTAGAGTGCATTTGGATGATCCAGAAGAGGATTGGGAGAATGTCATATGGTCAGATGAAACCAAAATAGAACTTTTTGGTAAAAACTCAACTCGTCGTGTTTGGAGGACAAAGAATTCTGAGTTGCATCCAAAGAACACCATACCTACTGTGAAGCATGGGGGTGGAAACATCATGCTTTGGGGCTGTTTTTCTGCAAAGGGACCAGGACGACTGATCCGTGTAAAGGAAAGAATGAATGGGGCCATGTATCGTGAGATTTTGAGTGAAAACCTCCTTCCATCACCAAGGGCATTGAAGATGAAACGTGGCTGGGTCTTTCAGCATGACAAAGATCCCAAACACACCGCCCGGGCAATGAAGGAGTGGCTTCGTAAGAAGCATTTCAAGGTCCTGGAGTGGCCTAGCCAGTCTCCAGATCTCAACCCCATAGAAAATCTTTGGAGGGAGTTGAAAGTCTGTGTTGCCCAGCGACAGCCCCAAAACATCACTGCTCTAGAGGAGATCTGCATGGAGGAATGGGCCAAAATACCAGCAACAGTGTGTGAAAACCTTGTGAAGACTTACAGAAAACGTTTGACCTGTGTCATTGCCAACAAAGGGTATATAACAAAGTATTGAGAAACTTTTGTTATTGACCAAATACTTATTTTCCACCATCATTTGCAAATAAATTCATTAAAAATCCTACAATGTGATTTTCTGGATTTTTTTTTCTCATTTTGTCTGTCATAGTTGACGTGTACCTATGATGAAAATTACAGGCCTCTCTCATCTTTTTAAGTGGGAGAACTTGCACAATTGGTGGCTGACTAAATACTTTTTTTCCCCACTGTAGCTGGCTCATCATTGCCCATGAAAGGAAGTTAGGCTAGCGAGCAAGCATTTTAGCCAGGACAACAACTAAAAGCATATAGCCTACTGTATGACAGTCATAGACTATTTTGGCGACATGCTAGAGAGGAGGATGGCATTGGGTGAGTCAACGTTTTTTTTTCTACTTGCGCACAAACACACACACACACACACACACACACACATCAGTACCATGGACAGCCACTTCATATTTAGCTTACATTGATTGGACTAAATAGTTTTTGGTATCTTTTCATTGTCACTGTATTAGACTAAGCATAGGTGATTTGATGTTGAAATGGTGCTGGAATAGTGGAGGCAGCTCCTGTTTTCTTTGCGACTTGCGGTAACTCTCTGTGGTTCCAAATCAAGTTGTTTTATAGTCCGAAAATGTCGGGAACTTGATTGACCATGCTGTAGGTCATGTCATTGTTTGTTACATGCAATATTATTTGTGTACAGATGTTGCTCTACGGTTTTGTGATGAAACAAAGGTGTGGTTGAATTTATTCTTCCACTGTGTCTTATCGTCTCGGTCTTAGGCCTATATACACTATATATACAAAAGTATGTGGACATCCCTTCAAATTAGTGGATTCGGCTGTTTCAGCCACACATCCATGCAATCTCCATAGACAAACATTGGCAGTAGAATGGCCTTACTGAAGAGCTCCGTGACTTTCAACGTGGCACTGTCATAGGATGCCAGCGTTCCAACAAGTCGGTTCATCAAATCTCTGGACTGGTGAAAAGCTTGCAGCCATTGGACTCTGGATAAGTGGAAACGAGTTCTCTGGATTTATGAATCACGCTTCACCATCAGGCAGTCCGACGGACAAATCTGGGTTTGCCAGGAGAACACGACCTGCCCGAATGCATGGCGCCATCTGTACAGTTTGGTGGAGGAGGAATAATGGTCTGAGGCTGTTTCATGGTTTGGGCTATGCTCCTTAGTTCCAGGGAAGGGAAATCTTAACGCTACAGCATACAATGACATTCTAGATGATTCTGTACTTCCAACTTTGTGGCAACAGTTTGGTGGAGCTTTGTGGAGCTTTGCTTCCCCAGTGATAAAAAAACAAATTTTTTAAATAAATAAAATAAAATGTTTACCCACACACCCCTACTGGCTGCATACTAACAACAGGCAGGGGAAATCACACAGGCACAAGGAAATTGAAAATGATAGAATGGCTCCGGCAGCTTTACTGTACATTCTGCACAAAGTAGTTTTCTGATCCAACAAAAGCCTCTGCAATATACATATGACCCATGGAAAAACCAAAACAACTTACAGTATCTTAGTCAGGATGCAGTGTCTCGTCGATGGAATCAGGGCCTTGGTCTCTTACAATATGTGATTACTGCATGGTTAAAACATTTAGCTGACTGCTCTGTGCCACGTATCCGTCTCTATATCCAAGATACGGGGAGCCCCTGGAGGGTTGTTTTTCTTGGCTGAACTATTGACATCAGTCGAGATGGAAGAGGAATAGTTGGAGGAAGGGATGAGCAGAGGGGTAAAATGGGTGATGGCTGTGCCCCTTTTTAGGAGAGGGGGGACATTGGTGCTCCTGACATTGGGAGGATTTTAGAAATAGGTTTTTAGAAATTAACACATTTATAAAAAAATTAAAACAGATTCATTTTTTACATAATTATTCAGACCATTTGCTATAAGACTCGAAATTTGAGTTTCCATTGATCATTCTTGATGTTACTACAACTTGATCGGAGTCCACCTGTGGTACATTCAATTGATTGGACATGATTTGGAAAGGCACACACCTGTCTGTATATGGTCCCCCAGTTGACCGTGCATAGGAGGACAAATAGATCGCATTCTTCTCATACTTTCACTCTAGGAGCGAGGGATGAGGAACAGGGCACTCCATCTTTTTTCTTAGTGAAAGGGTACGATGGGGTAGACTCGAACCCTATTCGAGGGTCTTTTCCCTCTCTCTCCTCCCTCTTGCTTTCTCTTACTGTCGCCTCCAGGTTAGTGTTTTTTGTCATGAATCGTGCTCTGGAGGCAGTTCTGCAGAATGGTCACTAGCTGGCCAATTTGGACTTTGCAGCTGGCCAATCTAGGGGAAATTGCTCAGTTCTGCCTCAAGGATAGGACTCATCCTAATAGAAACCGATTTTATGGTCAATCCAGCCTCTGTATTGGCCGTACAGCATTTACTGCAATGTGGCCTCTGCAGAAGTCAGGGCATTCATACATCTTGTGCTTCGCAGAGCTGTTGTCAAGGTAGTGAGTTTGTGTTTGTACAGGAAGTACCGCCCCTACCTACCGTCAACCAATCATGTCAATACGGAGCTATACGGAGCCATCCGCATTGATACAAAATATGGGAGGCGCACAGCGATGTGGTATGGAGCTTGATTTGGCCTCTGCAAGCCTCCGAAGGTGCCGCATTTGCGTCACACCCTCCATACGGAGCCTCCGGACTGCATTGCCGGATCAAGCATAAATCGTCTTTAAACGTCAACCTGCCTGTCTCTGTCTCTTAGCGTCTCTGTCACCCCTGAATATCGGACCCCTGTCCTTATTGCTCTGGCCTCTTTCACCCTATAACTTAACTATCCACTGTCTCTCTGTTTTCAAACCGATCTTCTTTCTCTTTACCTTTCCTCCCTTTCTCTTTATTCTCTAACAACTTTTCTCCGTTCTCTCCTGTTTTTTGTCTCTGTAAGCTAATAGGAGCCAGTCTCAGTGGAATGCCCTCAGTGGTTAATAAGCGGAACAGTTATGACCTAGTACTGTTGTGCTGATGGGAGGAAAGTCTGCTTTTTAGATCTAAAGTGCTGTGAAAAAGTATTTTCCCCCTTTCTAATTTTCTCTACTTTTGCATATTTTTTATACTGAATGTTATCAGAGCTTCAGCCAAACCCTAATATTAGATAAAGGGAACCTGAGTGAACAACTAACGCAACAATTGCATACTTATTTCATAAAAGTTAAGCAACACCAATGCCCCTGTGTGAAAAGTAATTGCCCCCTTACACTCAATAACTGGTTGTGCCATCTTCAGTTGCAATGAATTCAATCAAACACTTCCTGTAGTCATTGATCAGTCTCATGTTGCTGTGGAGGAATTTTGGCCCACTCTTCCATGCAGAACTGCTTTAACTAAGCGACATTTGTGTGTTTTCAAGCATGAACTGCTCGTTTAAAGTCCTACCACAACATCTCAATTGGGATTAGGTCTGGACTTTGACTAGGGCATTCCAAAACTTCAAATGTGTTGCTTTCTAACCATTATAGCATAATGGGACCCATGTTGTTCAAAATGTTAGACGTCTGTCCATAGAACATTCTTCCAAGAGTCTTGATGATCTTCCAGGTGCTTTCTGGCAAATTTGAGTCAACTCTTTGGACGAGATGGTTCCCATCAATGCTGCATTCCACAGAAAGGACCTCATACAAACGGTCAAGCTTGGTGGTAGTGTGATGGTTTGGGAATGCTTTGCTGCCTCAGGACCTGGACGACTTACCTTAGTAGAAGCAACCATGAATTCTGCTCTGAATCGGAGGATGTCATGCCATCCGTCTGTGAGCTGAAGCGCAGCTGGGTCATGCAGCAAGACAATGATCCAAAACACGCAATCAAGTCTACATCAAAATGGTTAAAAAGCAACACATTTGAAGTTTTGGAATGGCCTAGTCAAAGTCCAGACCTAATCCCAATTTAGATGTTGTGGCAGGTCTTGAAACGAGCAGTTCATTCTTGAAAACACACAAATGTACAGTGGGGGAAAAAAGTATTTAGTCAGCCAACAATTGTGCCAGTTCTCCCACTTAAAAAGATGAGAGAGGCCTGTAATTTTCATCATAGGTACACGTCAACTATGACAGACAAAATGAGGAAAAAAATTCCTGAAAATCACATTGTAGGATTTTTAATTAATTAATTTGCAAATTATGGTGGACAATAAGTATTTGGTCAATAACAAAAGTTTCTCAATACTTTGTTATATACCCTTTGTTGGCAATGACACAGGTCAAACGTTTTCTGTAAGTCTTCACAAGGTTTTCACACACTGTTGCTGGTATTTTGGCCCATTCCTCCATGCAGATCTCCTCTAGAGCAGTGATGTTTTGGGGCTGTCGCTGGGCAACACAGACTTTCAACTCCCTCCAAAGATTTTCTATGGGGTTGAGATCTGGAGACTGGCTAGGCCACTCCAGGACCTTGAAATGCTTCTTACGAAGCCACTCCTTCGTTGCCCGGGCGGTGTGTTTGGGATCATTGTCATGCTGAAAGACCCAGCCACGTTTCATCTTCAATGCCCTTGCTGATGGAAGGAGGTTTTCACTCAAAATCTCACGATACATGGCCCCATTCATTCTTTCCTTTACACGGATCAGTCGTCCTGGTCCCTTTGCAGAAAAACAGCCCCAAAGCATGATGTTTCCACCCCCATGCTTCACAGTAGGTATGGTGTTCTTTGGATGCAACTCAGCATTCTTTGTCCTCCAAAAAGGCGAGTTGAGTTTTTACCAAAAAGTTCTATTTTGGTTTCATCTGACCATATGACATTCTCCCAATCCTCTTCTGGATCATCCAAATGCACTCTAGCAAACTTCAGACGGGCCTGGACATGTACTGGCTTAAGCAGGGGGACATGTCTTGCACTGCAGGATTTGAGTCCCTGACGGCGTAGTGTGTTACTGATGGTAGGCTTTGTTACTTTGGTCCCAGCTCTCTGCAGGTCATTCACTAGGTCCCCCCGTGTGGTTCTGGGATTTTTGCTCACCGTTCTTGTGATCATTTTGACCCCATGGGATGAGATCTTGGGTGGAGCCCCAGATCGAGGGAGATTATCAGTGGTCTTGTATGTCTTCCATTTCCTAATAATTGCTCTCACAGTTGATTTCTTCAAACCAAGCTGCTTACCTATTGCAGATTCAGTCTTCCCAGCCTGGTGCAGGTCTACAATTTTGTTTCTGGTGTCCTTTGACAGCTCTTTGGTCTTGGCCATAGTGGAGTTTGGAGTGTGACTGTTTGAGGTTGTGGACAGGTGTCTTTTATACTGATAACAAGTTCAAACAGGTGCCATTAATACAGGTAACGAGTGGAGGACAGAGGAGCCTCTTAAAGAAGAAGTTACAGGTCTGTGAGAGCCAGAAATCTTGCTTGTTTGTAGGTGACCAAATACTTATTTTCCACCACAATTTGCAAATAAATTCATTAAAAATCCTACAATGTGATTTTCAGGATTTTTTTCCTCAATTTGTCTGTCATAGTTGACGTGTACCTATGATGAAAATTACAGGCCTCTCTCATATTTTGAAGTGGGAGAACCTGCACAATTGGTGGCTGACTAAATACTTTTTTGCCCCACTGTAAGTGGGCAATTACTTTTTACTTTAATTGGGTGTTGCGTAACTGCGTTAGTTAAATAAATAAATAAAATAAGAATACTTTTTTGTTATAAACTCCTTTTATCTAATTATGTTTTGGTTGAAGATCTGATAACATTCAGTTTCAAAAATATGCAAAAATAGAGAATCAAAGGGGGCAAATACTTATTCAAGGCACTGTACATGTTATATTTTGAGTGTTGTCCTGTGATGTATGCCTAAGTCTAAGTTTGTTTTAGTTCTGGAGGTTTACTTTGGGGCATATGGTTTTCAGTATTTGGAGTTCAACATTCTGTGGCTCTGAGCCTCTACATGTGGACCATTGTGTAACAGTTAGGCCAGTTGGAGAAAAAAATTGTCTCTGTGGGGGAGTGCATAGTCATGGTTTTTCTGCTCTCGATCAGCAAGTAGGGAAAAATTGACAGGCTTTACCCCTGCAAGTTCACTCTTCATTCAGATCTCCAGTCAACTTTCATGTATGATTTAACAATCAATAAAGTATTCATAAATGCCTTATAAACCCCTTATAAATGACTTGTAAACCCCTTTAAAGTTGTAAAGTCTCTCTATCCATTTACATCTACAGTCAGTTTGAGGTTGACCTGGGTTGTGTGGTTGTATGTGTTTCAGGAAGCGTATTCAGAAGCAGAACATCACGTTCCATCCAAACCACACAGTGTCGTATCTTGAATACAGGAGCTACTTCTTTGAGCCTAGCATGTCAATGGGCAATGAGTCGGATGTGGTCACCATCCCCAACATGCTTGTGTTGGTAAGACTGCACTGCTGAGTGCACACACACTCACTAACTTATTAGAACTGGACTCTCCCTCACCTCTTCCTCTTTCCCCTCTGTCTCCCAGGGTGCGGCAGTGATGATGGAGAACTTGCCGTTCGCATTGCGTCTGATGATCAGCACCACCTTTAAGACCTTTAAGGAGGGACCTTTCCTCACCAAGTCTGTAGAAGAGCTGATGTGGGGCTACGACAGCAAGCTGGTGGACTTCCTCAATAAATGGCTCCCTGGGATGCTACCCTCCACTGGCAAGTTTGGCCTCTTCGCTGAGGTGAGTGGGTGAGCAAGACGGTGGAGGAGAGGAGAGCAAGCCATTTTAGACGGGAGGGAGGTGCGTGCATGGGCAGTTTTCCTATTATGTAATTCATTGACAGACCTTGAAGAGCTATTTATAACCTGTTAGAAATGAACAGTTGATAAACTAGCCCATGTTAGCCAGGTAGGTAAGTTAGCTGGTTAGCCTATCTAAATCTTGTAGTTATAGTTGAAATCGGAAGTTTACATACACTTAGGTTGGAGTCATTAAAACTTGTTTTTCAACCACTCCACAAATTTCTTATTAACAGACTTTAGTTTTGGCAAGTCGGTTAGGACGTCTACTTTGTGCATGACACAAGTCATTTTTCCAACAATTGTTTACAGACAGATTATTTCACTTATAATTCACTATCACAATTCCAGTGGGTCAGAAGTTTACATACACTAAGTTGACTGTGCCTTTAAACAGTTTGGAGAATTCCAGAAAATGATGTCATGGCTTTAGAAGCTTCTGATAGGCTAATTGACATCATTTGAGTCAATTGGAGGTGTACCTGTGGATGTATTTCAAGGCCTACATTCAAACTCAGTGCCTCTTTGCTTGACATCATTGGAGAATCAAAAGAAATCAGCCAAGACCTCAGAAAAGAAATTGTAGACCTCCACAGGTCTGGTTCATCCTTGGGAGCAATTTCTAAACGCCTGAAGGTACCACGTTCATCTGTACAAACAATAGTATGCAAATATAAACACCACGCAGCCGTCATACCGCTCAGGAAGGAGACACGTTCTGTGTCCTAGAGATGAACGTACTTTGATGCGAAAAGTGTAAATCAATCCCAGAACAACAGCAAAGGACCTTGTGAAGATGCTGGAGGAAACAGGTACAAAAGTATCTATATCCACAGTAAAACAAGTCCAATATTGACAACCTGAAAGGCCGCTCAGCAAGGAAGAAGCCACTGCTCCAAAACCGCCATAGAAAAGCCAGACTACGGTTTGCAACTGCACATGGGGATAAAGATCGTACCTCTGGTCTGATGAAACCGAAATAGAACTGTTTGGCAATAATGACCATTGTTGTTTGGAGGAATAAGGGGGTCTCTTGCAAGCCGAAAAACACCATCCCAACCGTGAAGCACGGGGGTGGCAGCATCCTGCTGTGGGGGTGCTTTGCTGCAGGAGGGACTGGTGCACTTCACAAAATAGATTGCATCATGAGGAAGGAAAATGATGTGGATATATTGACGCAACATCTCAAGACATCAGTCAGGAAGTTAAAGCTTGGTCGCAAATGGGTCTTCCAAATGGACAATGACCCCAAGCATACTTCCAAAGTTGTGGCAAAATGGCTTAAGGACAACAAAGTCAAGGTATTGGAGTGGCCATCACAAAGCCCTGATCTCAATCCTATAGAAAATGTGTGGGCAGAACAGAAAAAGCGTGTGCGAGCAAGGAGGCCTACAAACCTGACTCAGTTACACCAGCTCTGTCAGGAGGAATGGTCCAAAATTCACCCAACTTATTGTGAGAAGCTTGTGGAAGGCTACCCGAAACGTTTGACCCAAGTTAAACAATTTTAAAGGCAATGCTACCAAATACTAATTGAGTGTATGTAAACTTCTGACCCACTGGGAATGTGATGAAAGAAATAAAAGCTGAAATCATTATTCTGACATTTCACATTCTTAAAATAAAGTGGTGATCCTAACTGACATAAGACAGGGAATTTCTACTAGGATTAAATGTCAGGAATTGTGAAAAACTGAGTTTAAATGGATTTGGCTAAGGTGTATGTAAACTTCTGACTTCAACTGTATCATGGCAAGAGTACGTGCCCAGGGGCCCCCATTTTGATTTTGTTGAGTCACTCAATTATCATATTGTTATAATATGGGGGCTAGTTTAGGGTTGCCACATAGATGGACACTACATGACCACTTCCACATTCCATTCCTAGGGGGCAGCAGCAACTGGGTCAGGTGCCCTGCTCGGAAGCATTGATAAGTACATAGGTGCGGGGTGATCGGCAATCAGTGCGAGAGGTGGCCAGAAGCCTCTTTCCCTGCCAGTGGTCATTTTGTGTTAATGTTACCTCCTTTAGTTTGGGCACGCCTGTTTAAAAATGTATATCGGCATCAACTAAACAAACAATAATTGCTTGGGCATACCGACCCAGGAGTCGAGACTGAGCTGGCCCTGGACCCAGGTAAGGTTGCTGTGTCCTGGGGCACACGTGCATAAAACACTGTTCTCATATTCTGACTTCTCACCTAATTGCACACATTAAATCCGGTTACAGACCACGTAGCTATGCCTAGGACCCCTAGACATAACGAGTGTATTTAAACCGGTAGGCTGGCTAATCGGTTACATAACAATAGGAACACCCAAGACATGAGAATTGCATGAAATTTGCTTTAACTGCAGAATTCTCTCTCCGCCCAATGGCAAAATGTGTAGAATTGCAGGAAATGTGCTTTTAAAAATGCAACGAGGGGTGGGAACTGTTTGAACAGTTTGGGATCGCATGGGTTGTGAGGTGGGGCTTTGTTACTACGGCAATTAATGACAATATCCATCTGGACCTTTGCCACCTAGGAAATGTGTGTGTCCGGACCGCAAATAGTATTTGCGTACCCCTGATCTACAACCTGTTTAGGTTGGCTGTCTGGTTTTAGTGAAGGGTCAAATGTCAATCTGTGTCCGTTTCTTCCATCAGTTCAACAACTCAAACACTGGTTTGTTCACCATCCACACTGGGAAGGATGACATCAGGCTGATTCACAAAGTGGACTCATGGAATGGCCTGACCAAGGTGAGAGGTCAGAGGTCACACATCCATGTGCCTTCACCTTTACAGATTGGGCTGAGAGGGGCTGTTGGAAGAAGCATAGATGAGAAACTGAATTGGGCCTCTTTTACAAGGACTCCATGGAAATCAATGGCAACTGTTACAGAGTGGACTATTCTGGCTATATACATTAATCAAAAGTTCTAAAATGTGACTGTAGTGAAATCCTGAATCAACTCTTTCAATTATGTCCTGCTCTAGAAAGAGAGCTCATTGTATAATGGATGATAACCCTCGGTCTCTCTCTCTCTAGTTGACCAATTGGAAGACTCCTCAGTGTAACATGATCAACGGTACAGCAGGACAAATGTGGCCTCCCTTCATGACCAAAGAGTCTACACTGCCCTTCTACAGTCCTGACGCCTGCAGGTACAGACAGACAGACAGACAGACAGGCAGACAGGCAGACAGACAGACAGACAGGCAGGCAGACAGACAGACAGACAGACAGACAGACCCTCACTCTTTCTCTCTGTCTCTAAAGGTCTTTGGAGCTGGTGTACCAGCGTGAGGGGATAATGGATGGGATTCCTCTGTATCGTTACGTGGCTCCTAAGACTATGTTCGCTAATGGCTCAGACTACGCTCCCAACGAGGGATTCTGTCCCTGCAGACAGTCTGGCCTCCTCAATGTCAGCAGCTGCAGATCCAGTAAGTGCACGCACACACACACACGCGCGTGCACGCAGTCACACCCGGAGGCATGCACATGTTTTTTTTAGGGCTGCAGGTAGCCTAGCGGTTAGCGCATTGGGCCAGTAACTGAATAATGGCTGGTTTGAATACCCAAGCCGCCGAGGTGAAACATGTCTGTGTCCTTGAGCAAGGCACTTACCCTAGTTTCCTCCATGGGTGCACCCATTTTCATTTTTTTTTCACTGCACCCATTTTATTTTTTAAAACACATGGACACATCTCAGGGGTGACCGTCATATACCCTTTTAGTCATGACCCAGATACCTTGTCTGAAAAACAGACTGGTTGAGGGGGTATGACAAGCACGCACACAGAGGAGCCATGCCGCTGTGCACGCACACAGAGGAGCCATGCCGCTGTGCACGCACACAGAGGAGCCATGCCGCTGTGCACGCACACAGAGGAGCCATGCCGCTGTGCACGCACACAGAGGAGCCATGCCGCTGTGCACGCACACAGAGGAGCCATGCCGCTGTGCACGCACACAGAGGAGCCATGCCGCTGTGCACGCACACAGAGGAGCCATGCCGCTGTGCACGCACACAGAGGAGCCATGCCGCTGTGCACGCACACAGAGGAGCCATGCCGCTGTGCACGCACACAGAGGAGCCATGCCGCTGTGCACGCACACAGAGGAGCCATGCCGCTGTGCACGCACACAGAGGAGCCATGCCGCTGTGTACGCACACAGAGGAGCCTGTGTAAACAGATGGAGAAACACTTAGGCATGAGACAACATACCATGATTCACTTATGTTCCTAATCTAGCACCCCATAGAACATGCCTCTCAAGATAACATCCTGTATGCACTTGGGGCTGAATTGTATCTTGAGAAATGCCCACATACTGTATAAAAGTTTTGTATAAATCATGCATTGATGTCAAGGGGAGATTTGAACAAAGTTCATAGTCAGGATTCAACCGCTTGTCTCACAAATACTTCTTACATAGGATATTTATGATAATGATGATTGTGATGTTGTATTAACATTGTGTTCTAGACTCCCCCGTGTTCATCTCCCACCCCCACTTCTACAATGCTGACCCTGTCCTGCTGGACTTCGTACAGGGACTTCAGCCTACTGAGGGCGAACATGGACTCTTCATAGACATCCACCCTGTGAGTAACAGACAGACACACACACAGCTAGCTAGATAAACACACAGATGGCTAGCTAGCTAGAGACATGCACAGCATTTACACACACGTCTATAATGGGGTACAAATGCTTCAGGCTGCCTGGCGGCCCTCTGCCTGTCAGGCATAAGGAGCCTCATCAGTCAAGTCATCAATGACATTTTATTTGATCTCTGACACCAAGTGGTGACAGGAGCAAAGGAAAACCAAGCTGTGCGTGAAATAACTTGAGCACACCCATAGTTTTGTCGACGCTTTGGACACTTCTTGTGTGTTCTTCTTATTATCGTTAGATGTAGTGTCATGGTCGAAAACGTACCCACCATAAACTATGGTATGAACAGAACATTAATGTACCCAGTATCTCTGTTTGCCCATAATGTCATTATCTATATTTATCTGGTATAAACCGAGTAGAGATCGTTGTCTTTATTGCCCACAACTCTTTCTGTCTGTGTGTTTACCACCCAGAGATGCAGTAAAAGTGAGGTTGTTTAGTCCTTATCTAAATTGGTTGTGTAAACACATCTGATCTGACAGCTGTAGGGAATGTCCAATGTTCATACCTACTGTCCTAGTGGCAATCACCTAACCCATAAAAACAGAGTGCGCTTGGCTATGGCAGTTTCTTACAATAATCTGTCCCCTGGACTGGGGAAAATTTGTCTTGGACATTCATTTTCAGAGACATTCACATGAGGACTCTAAGTTTAGAGGCAGGAGAAGCTAAAGCAGGGGTAGACAACTAGATTCAGCCGCTGGCCATTTTTTTGGGAGGGAATGGATGGTCAGGGGGCTGGAACATAATTATAATAATTTGTACACTGCAAATTGACCACAACTAAGCCCCAAAATAAATTGTATTTGAAAATAACAATTTCATACTTTTGAATATATTGAGACAAGATCATGTACAGTTGAAGTCGGAAGTTTACATACACTTAGGTTGGAGTCATTAAAACTCGTTTTTCAACCACTCCACAAATTTCTTGTTAACAAACTATATAGTTTTGGCAAGTCTGTTAGGACATCTACTTTGTGCATGACACAAGTAATTCTTCCAACAATTGTTTACTTATTCACTGTATCACAATTCCAGTGGGTCAGAAGTTTACATACACTAAGTTGACTGTGCCTTTAAACAGCTTGGAAAATTCCAGAAAATGATGTCATGGCTTTAGATGTTTCTGATAGGCTAATTGACATCATTTGAGTCAATTGGAGGTAAAATAATAATAAATAATAATATGCCATTTAGCAGACGCTTTTATCCAAAGCGACTTACAGTCATGCGTGCATACATTTTTTGTGTGTATGGGTGGTCCCGGGGATCGAACCCACTACCTTGGCGTTACAAGCGCCGTGCTCTACCAGCTGAGCTACAGAGGACCACAGGTGTACCTGTGGATGTATTTCAAGGCCTACCTTCAAACTCAGTGCCTCTTTGCTTGACATCATGGGAAAATCAAAAAGAAATGTAGACCTCCACAAGTCTGGTTCATCCTTGGGAGCAATTTCCAAATGCCTGAAGGTACCACGTTCATCTGTACAAACAATAGTACGCAAGTATAAACACCATGGGACCACACAGCCATCATACCGCTCAGGAAGGAGACGCGTTCTGTCTCCTAGAGATGAACGTACTTTGGTGCGAAAAGTACAAATCAATCCCAGAACAACAGCAAAGGACCTTGTGAAGGTGCTGGAGGAAACAGGTACAAAATATCTATATCCACAGTAAAAACGAGTCCTACAGTGGGGAAAAAAAGTATTTAGTCAGCCACCAATTGTGCAAGTTCTCCCACTTAAAAAGATGAGAGAGGCCTGTAATTTTCATCATAGGTACACGTCAACTATGACAGACAAAATGAGAAAGAAAAATCCAGAAAATCACATTGTAGGATTTTTAATGAATTTATTTGCAAATTATGGTGGAAAATAAGTATTTGGTCAATAACAAAAGTTTCTCAATACTTTGTTGTATACCCTTTGTTGGCAATGACACAGGTCAAACGTTTTCTGTAAGTCTTCACAAGGTTTTCACACACTGTTGCTGGTATTTTGGCCCCTTCCTCCATGCAGATCTCCTCTAGAGCAGTGATGTTTTGGGGCTGTCGCTGGGCAACACAGACTTTCAACTCCCTCCAAAGATTTTTCTATGGGGTTGAGATCTGGAGACTGGCTAGGCCACTCCAGGACCTTGAAATGCTTCTTACGAAGCCACTCCTTCATTGCCCGGGCGGTGTGTTTGGGATCATTGTCATGCTGAAAGACCCAGCCATGTTTCATCTTCAATGCCCTTGCTGATGGAAGGAGGTTTTCACTCAAAATCTCACGATACATGGCCCCATTCATTCTTTCCTTTACACGGATCAGTCGTCCTGGTCCCTTTGCAGAAAAACAGCCCCAAAGCATGTTTCCACCCCCATGCTTCACAGTAGGTATGGTGTTCTTTGGATGCAACTCAGCATTCTTTGTCCTCCAAACACGACGAGTTTAGTTTTTACCAAAAAGTTATATTTTGGTTTCATCTGACATTCTCCCAATCCTCTTCTGGATCATCCAAATGCACTCTAGCAAACTTCAGACGGGCCTGGACATGTACTGGCTTAAGCAGGGGGACAAGTCTGGCACTGCAGGATTTGAGTCCCTGGCGGCGTAGTGTGTTGCTGATGGTAGGCTTTGTTACTTTGGTTCCAGCTTTCTGCAGGTCATTCACTAGGTCCCCCCGTGTGGTTCTGGGATTTTTGCTCACCGTTCTTGTGATCATTTTGACCCCACGGGGTGAGATCTTGTGTGGAGCCCCAGATCGAGGGAGATTATCAGTGGTCTTGTATGTCTTCCATTTCATAATAATTGCTCCCACAGTTGATTTCTTCAAACCAAGCTGCTTACCTATTGCAGATTCAGTCTTCCCAGCCTGGTGCAGGTCTACAATTTTGTTTCTGGTGTCCTTTGACAGCTCTTTGGTCTTGGCCATAGTGGAGTTTGGAGTGTGACTGTTTGAGGTTGTGGACAGGTGTCTTTTATACTGATAACAAGTTCAAACAGGTACCATTAAAACAGGTAACGAGTGGAGGACAGAGGAGCCTCAAAGAAGAAGTTACAGGTCTGTGAGAGCCAGAAATCTTGCTTGTTTGAAGGTGACCAAATACTTATTTTCCACCATAATTTGCAAATAAATTCATTAAAAATCCTGCAATGTGATTTTCTGGATTTATTTTTCTCAATTTGTCTGTCATAGTTGATGTGTACCTATGATGACAATTACAGGCCTCTCTCATCTTTTTAAGTGGGAGAACTTGCACAATTGGTGGCTGACTAAATACTTTTTTTCCCCACTGTATATCGACATAACCTGAAAGGCCGCTCAGCAAGGAAGAAGCCACTGCTCCAAAACCACCATAAAAAAGCAAGACTATGGTTCGCAACTGCACATGGGGACAAATATCGTACTTTTTGGAGAAATGTCCTCTGGTCTGATGAAACAAAAATAGAACTGTTTAGCCATAATGACCATCGTTATGTTTGGAGGAAAAGGGGGCAGCTTGCAAGCCAAAGAACACCATCCCAACCGTGAAGCACGGGGGTGGCAGCATCATGCTGTGGGGGTGCTTTGCTGCAGGAGGGACTGGTGCACTTCACAAAATAGATGGCATCATGAGGAAGAAAAATTATGTGGATATATTGAAGCAACATCTCAAGACATCAGTCAGGAAGTTAAAGCTTGGTCGCAAATTGGTCTTCCAAATGGCAGCTCTGTCAGGAGGAATGGGCCAAAATTCACTCAACTTATTGTGGGAAGCTTGTGGAAGGCTACCAGAAACGTTTGACCCAAGTTAAACAATTTAAAGGTAATGCTACCAACTACTAATTGAGTGTATGTAAACTTCTGACCCACTGGGAATGTGATGAAATAAATATAAGCTTAAATAAATCATTCTCTCTACTATTATTCTGACATTTCACATTCTTAAAATAAAGTGGTGATCCTAACTGACATAAGACAGGGAATTTCTACTAGGATTAAATGTCAGGAATTGTGAAAAACTGAGTTAAAATGTATTTGGCTAAGGTGTATGTAAACGTATGACTTCAACTGTATGTCTTTTTATTTGTGGGAATACTTGGAAGCGATTTCCTAAATTATGATTTTAGTCTTTTTAATTTTTTTAATAGCTTGTGGGTCGCCTGTTGCTGACCCCTGAGCTAATGGATGTGAGAGCGGATATCACCCCTTTTTTTGTTTTACATTAATTTTTATTTTTTAACCTTTTGGTCTAGCTCCTGTACCAAGTTGGCAGTACTGTAAGTACACTCTGCACTGTACTCTTCATAGTACACAGAGGAGGACTTGGAATTGGTCAGAAGCTAATAAGACCTTGCTGTAGAACCATGACAACATGAGTAGGTTTGTCGGACCGTAGGAGTGAAAACCGTTCGTGACCAGGGTAGCTGGGGTCCTCGATTATACAGAGGGCTTTGCTGTGGCAGCGGTTAGTGTAAATATCCTCTATAGATGGCAGCTCTGTCCTTTATGATTCTTTGTACAGTCTTCACAAGGCTTTGTATTGTGGTCACACAGGTTTTAGTCTGTGTGCCATATGGTAATACACCCAGTCAATGGTTCAACTAGAAAAGTTCCCAGCTAAGTGTCTCACTGTCCATGCTTAACTCCCTCAGACATTAGCAGCTAAAAGTCTAGTCAGTGGAATCTGGGCACCCAGAACCAAAACATGCATGCTGATGGTAAAAAGTATTGCGAGTCTTCAACTCCCATCTCCTCGCTTCCTTCTCAAGCGTATTAGAGGAGAAGGTCGAAAGTCCCTTCCCTCAGACCACCTTCTCCAATGTGTTTTGAGGGGGCAAGGAGAGAGGATGCGAGGAATCGCAGAAAGATAAATTGACAAAGAGCCCATGCCAGTTTGACCTGTAGCGATAAGCTAATTGTAATTGCAGTATTGATTATTATTTTGACGTGGGTGTTATGTTATGATACCAGTGTTATGATGCCTGTATGG